TCACGAACAAGAGAGCAGAAAATTCGAATCCATCAAAGGATCGAATAGAGCAATTAAGCTTAAAAGAGCAGAGAGCTAAAATTCTAAGAGCTAAAATCTTCAAGTGTGAGAAGAGAAAAAGAACTCAGAGAGCTTCAAGAGAAAAATATTCAGAGAATTCTTAAACAGAGCAAAGCAGAGCAAAAATATCAAGTGCTTTACTTGATATATTCAAAGAGAGAAAACACTCAGAGCTATCAAGAGAAATCATTCCAGAGTGTTTATCTTCATCAAAGAGACCTGCACATCATTGAAGATCAACTACAGAGCCTCAGAAGTTGGAAGCAAGACAACACTTGTTTTGGAGCAAACCAAGAGAAGGGAGGAAAGTAGCACGGAGCTGTGAAATCCTGGATTGTCACACGGAGCTGTGAGATCCGAAGCAGCAGTGTCGGAGGCACTGGGCGTGATTGGTGTGGGCTTGGTGATCAAAGCACCAGATCACGGGATACGTTTCTACCGGAGTGTGGAAGACGGGGGGAAAGTAACGCGGAGTCGTGAAATCTTGGGATAGTAGCGCTGCGACGTGAAACCCGAAGCAGCAGTGTGGTGTCACTGGGCGTGATTAGTGCGGGCTTTGTGATCAAAGCACTAGATCACGGAATTCATTGTATCTTGGAACCAAGAAGTGGTGGATATAGTGAATTGGCTCTTGGAGAAAAGAGCAAGTGGAGTAGGAGGATTACACCACCTCGCGAACCACTATAATTGTCTTGTGTTTCTTTACTGCTTTCTTTACTTACCGCTCTTTACGTATTCGCTCTACACGAGATATACTGCTCACACAATCTCACACACACTTTATGTTTATTTATTTCTGCTGTGCACCATACTCTAACAATCTAGTTAAGAGTTTTGGTTTATCTCTGGCTTAGCAATTGTTGTGCTGTGCGAAAAAGTTTGAAAGTCTATTCACCCCCCCCCCCCTCCTCTAGACTTTCACCTTACCTCTTTTGGGACCAACACTTTCATCTTTAATTTTCCAACAATCCCCCACAAATTTAAAGAGGAAAGGAAAAGGGTAAGGTCTAAGCAATACAAATGAGTTGATCTTAATGTCAGTATTTGAACTGACACGTAGTGACACTGAGTAATTTTCTTCCCGGGAGTGATGTGAATCTTGAACTCACCAGTTAGATAAATTTTGAACTCGAATGCACACACCAACTCAAAAAGCAGGTTCTACAAAAGTCAAACTCTTTGACTTCTTTTAAACACCCTTAGTATTAAAGAATGTTACGTCTGTCTCAAATATGGACTTCTACCCTGTCAAAGTCTATCACAAAATAGACTTTTAACTCTGACAAGTCTTACAACATTATAGATTTTTTCCGTCTTGTGAAGTCCATCTCAATATAGACTTTTAACTCTTTCAGGTCTATCTCGGTATAGACCACCATTAAAGGCTTATAGAGTAGTTAAAGACATAAATCAGTTGTAAGTCTTTTCTTTCTATCATAGGTTGTTATTTGCAATGCAAACGACAGTTTGTGAATCACAATGAAGGAAGGTGTTGGACACCCCCACAATTACACGGTTATCACCATGTTTCTTAGCCACTCAGCTTCTTGGGATAACCCCATTATCTTTCATAAGAGGCGGTTAGCCCTTTTCTACTCAAGTTAGGTCTATCTCAACATAGACCGGGAAACTCACCCTACTCTACTATAAATAAGTAAGTTGCGCCGACTTTAAGCCGTAACGGCAAAATTAAACTAGCCATGATATTAATTGGACCGTTAATTCAATTTTAAATATTAGATAAAGTCATTTGAAATCAGTAAGAAATGTAAGGGAAAATATATATTTTTATACTCTCAATTATTCTTAGCTAGTTGTTTTAATTTCTAATTTCTATCCTTGTAATATATATATATATATATATATATATATATATATATATATATATATATATATATATATTAAAATTTTATTATCTTTCTTTAATTTATAACCTTTTCGATTTAGGTATTTAATTTGTAAAATAGAGAATTAATAACATTTTTTTAAAAAAAAATCATATTTAAGTGCGGTACATCTTCCCTATTTTACCTACACGTAAACACGTAGTTGTTAAAATTAATTTTTCTTTTAATTTTATAAATGTAATATCAGCACTAAAAAATTATAATTAAATAATAAATGTTAAAAAATACTAAAATACCATGCACTAAATAATTTTTAAGAGTTTAATAGTTTTGTTTTTATATTCAATGCTTAAAACTGCAACCTTTTTGAAGAGTTAGCGTATATATTGCAACAGTAAAAGATTAAAGACTAAAACCGATAGCAAAAAATAATTGAGGAACTAAAACCGCTAGCAAAGAACAATCGAGGACTAAAATTGCATCTTTTCCTAAGTGTAATTATACCTAGCTACTATTAAGTTACTAACAACTTATTATTGAGTTAATGTGGAAGTACACTTTTATTAATTTTTTTTTTTTTTTTTGGTGAAATCACTTTTATTACTTATGAAATTACCATGTGAACTCCCAAGTTCTATTCTTGAGTTCTACTTTCACTTTCAAATTCTAGAGGTAGACATTTAACTTGGACCAACATGATGAAAATAGGCTATCTTGTTTAATTTGTCACATCAGAGAATAAAATTGACGGAGTAGAATTTGGATGTACATGCAATAGCACTATATAACTTATTCAGAATTGATTTAAGGATAACTTGTCCGTTTAAACAATATTTTATAACTACAATAAAAATTTTAAAGGCCCTTAATATAGTTCATATATGAGTAATTACCCGCCCTCAACTATTTGAAATTGTGTCTAAATTGATTTTTTTTTTTTTTTTTTTTTTGGGTGGACTGAACCTTATAATGACATTAAAGCCAACATACTTTCATAGCTTTTATGGAATTTCCCGGCCAACTAGGGACATATGATGAAAAGAGAAGCTAACTAATCAATTGGCACTCTAGGAGTAAATCACTAAAAATTTATCTAGCTATCTTCACTAGGAAATATTCAACCCAAGAAGAAAGAGGAAGGGAGAAATGACGAGAAAAGGGTTGGAGGAGAGGGGATATAGTTTCTCCGAAGAGACTGTTATCTCCGGAGAAACTCTGTCGCAAAGCGTGGCGCATGAGCAATCGACACGCACCAATCGTATAGCGCGTATTGCTCACATGCCACAAATGACGCGCAAATGGTGGGAGATATCCTGTTTCCCGGCAAATTTTTGTGTGGACTATGGTCCACACAATGTTATGTGGACCATAACAAAAAGTACATTTTTAATATACTAAATGTATATTATTTTTGTACTGAATGTACATTATACAATATAATGTAGACTCAGTACACAAATAATGTACATCCCCTGAATACAATATACATTTTTAATATACTAAAAGTACATTATTTTACACTATACAAAATATGGTCCACATGGTTCACACGATAATGATTGTTGTTTCCCACCATCCGCTATATATTAAAAAAAAAAAAATTGCATTTTCCCCCAAGCTTAGAGACTCTAATGCTCAATTGCATAGAGGCTTATTGGTTTTTTGTTTCGTTTTTTTTTTTTTTAAAATAAAATTTATTTGTTATTTTATTTTTAAAATTTAATTAGTTTTTGGAATATATATTATTTAAATTTTAATATTGAATTTTTTATTTTGTTATTTAAATTTATTTTCATTTAAAATTATAATTATAAAATTAAAGAATTCTATTTGCACCACCCTTATTGCTATTTACACCGCCCTTTGATCGGTGTTCTAGCTTTATAGGTGGTGTAAATAGAACAACTTGTTATTCGCACTACCTTCATTAAAGTTATTCAAATATTAGAAATATTATTTTAATAAACTTAAATTAAATAATTATTTAAAAATTTTCAAAAAAAAAATAATTATTTAAAAATTTAAAAATTAAAAAAAAAAAAAAAACAAAAACAAACAAACAAACACTCGCCTTCTCCGTTGAGAAGGCAACCGGGTTGCCTTCTCCGGTGAGATGGCGACCTGGGTTGCCTTCTCTGGTGAGAAGGCGACCCTTCGCTTTCTCAACGGGGAAGGCGAGTGTTTTTTTTTTTTTTAAATGTTTTAATTTTTTAATTTTTAATAAAAAATTATTACTGATATGTTTTAATCTTCTAAAATTATTATGGAATCTCGTAAATTACATTTGATTAGGCTATGTACTTGTTGAAATTTTCACATTTTTACAATTCTAATGTTATTTACACACAATTTTCAGTAGGGGTGGTACAAATAGAACCACCCATATTAATTATAGAAAAGTGAATAAAATAATATATGATGTGTAAGGGTGTAAAGAAGTAGGACCCAAAAGAAAAAAAAAAAAAGAGAGAAAATGAGAGGTATGAAAAAACAGTTTAAGTAATGGCAATTTAATCAAGGTAATTCGAGGAACACAGAAACTCTCACTTAGTAGTGTTCAAATTTTTTTACAAAATGAATATTATTTACTAAAAAAAAGGATAAATAAAATGAGAGGTAATAATAAAAATAAGGCTAAAGTGTCATCCCGCACCATGAACTAGGTTAGTTGTAGATGAATATCTTGAGAGAATATTTTCAAATTATTTCTTGTAAAACTTGTTGAGAGAGGTTCTTAAATTAAAAAAGTAATCATCTGATCTCTCTATAACTAACTCTTCTCTATGAATATATATACTGTGAATTTTTGTGAGTGTAATTTCCAAGTTATTTTCTTGCAATCCAATTATTCTTTCACCCTTGAGGTATTAATTGAGAGAATAGTACTCGACCATCGGACATCTCAGTTAAATAAGGATAATCTTGTAAACTACCTCAAAGCAGTTATTTCCACATCCAGCTATAATATATTATTTATTGATTTATTGATAGATAAAAATTATAATTAATGGTTTTTTTTCTCTCGCCTCCTTCGCGAGCGTTTCTCTCCCTTATTGTTTCTATGGTTTACGCCGTTCTACGTTGAGTTTACCGATGGCGACCGACAATCCCGACGACATCTCGCAATTGTGTGCGAACTTGACTCTGGCCGATGTTGAGGATGAAGACCAATCCATACAAATCCCAGGAATACAGATCACCGACCAGATTGGAGAAGCGAGTTACTATGCGGTTGGCAGAGTGGTGACTAATAGGCCTGTGAAGTTCTCTTTTTTCCAAGACACCATGGCGGCAGTATGGCAGCCGGCGATGGGGCTCACAATGAGACAACTTCAACCCCAACGGTTTTTGATCCGGTTTTATCACGAAACTGACCTCAACCGGATCATAGAAGGGGGGCCATGGGCCTATGAACAAAACTTGCTGATCATGCAGAAGTTACAGCCAGGAGAAGACCCTGAGGCAACAGTACTGAATCACGCAGACTTCTGGATACAAATACATTCTCTGCCGGCGGGGCTGCGTTCTGTAGTGGTGGTTTCGGCCATAGGTTCTTCAGAGGTTCTATGCGTACCTTTTATCGCGTACGTGTGAATATTGACATCACAAGGCCGTTGAAGAAGCAGATGAAGTTGAAGAAGGATAATGGAACATGGGCGTTTGTGGACTTCCGGTATGAGAGGCTCCCAACCTTTTGCTTTATCTGTGGATTCATTGGCTATGGAGGCCGGGTGTGTCCTAAACTTGTTCACGACATCGATACTAAAGCAGATAAGCCGTTTGGAACATGGCTACGGGCTGGAACCAGACGTAATGTCCCCAGTGTCGGACAAAGATGGGTGGCGCCGGAGCTAGATGCTGACCGAGAAGGATGGAAGGCACCAGGTGCGTGTAATAGTGGCTCATCTAAGACTAGTGAAACCAGTGCAGAGGGGGTAGCGTGTAATGACACAGTAGATGACGGTTCTGATGTTGTTGTGAATGAGCCGAAGAGGAAAAGAGTGGATACATCTAGTGCCACAGTGGCAATGGATTGTGAGACGGGAACTCCAAAAAACGGGCAGAAGGCGGGTCTTGCGACGCAAGCCCGCCAAGAATTATGAGTCTTTTAACTTGGAACTGTCGAGGGCTTACCAACCCGACGGCAATTCGAGTTCTTGCGGACCTAATCCACAATAAGAGGCCAAGAGTGGTATTTCTTATGGAGACTTTTCTGGATAAAGGGAGAATGGAGAATGTGAGAGTGCAATTGGGTTTTGAGAATCTTTTTTGTGTTGATGCAAACGGACACAACGACGGTTTGGCTTTACTATGGTCTAGTTGGGTGGACCTTCAAATTTGTTCTTACTCAGACAATTTTATAGACACCACGCTAGCTTTGGATGTTGGTAGTCCACGCTGGCGGTTCAAAGGTTATTATGGTTTTTCCCAAAGACAAAGATGGCGTGAAGCATGGCAGATGCTCCGAAGGTTGGCAGTACAGAGTGCTGAACCATGGGTCATTATGGGAGATTTTAACAATCTCATGCACCAGTCTGAGAAGATAGGGCGAGCACCACATCCGCCATGGTGTATCACTAGTTTTACTAATGCGGTTGCCGATTGCGGGTTACAGGATTTCCCCTTTAGCGATAATCAGTATACATGGGTGCGCTCACAGGGTACCCCGAATATGGTTGAGGAGAAACTGGACCGTATTCTTGTATCGGAGGATTGGTTATCCCTGTTTGAGGGTGCGACTGCATGCTCACTTGCGTGCCCGTACAGTGATCACTTACCCCTGATTTTAACCCCGGTGGTTACTACAACAGTCTGGCAACGAAAGCGCTTTTTATTTGACAATATGTGGCTTCGCGAGGACAAATGCCGGGCAATAGTTTCACATTGTTGGGACCGTACGACGGGCTTGGATGTTTTAACCAGGATCGAAAGTTGTGGACGTGACATCTGGAGATGGGGTAAAAATTATAACCGAGACTTCCAGCGCAAGATTGAGCGGTGCAAAAGCCGTTTAGACCAGCTGCGGTCTCGGCGCGATGAGGATGGCATGAGGGAGTATGGTATTGTATGTTGAGGGTGAATTGCTACATTTACTTGAGCAACAACACTATTTCTGGAAACAAAGAGCGAAGGAGCACTGTTATAAAGGAGGGGATTTGAACAGCAAGTTCTTTCATAATTCGGTCAAAGCTAGGAAAAGGCGAAATAAAATACGAAAGCTGAAAGATAATGACGGAAGTTGGGTAGCGGATGAGGCTGGAATTGGTCAAGTTATGTTGGGCTATTTCAAAACTATTTGAGGCAGACCAAGGTGATCTGGCGGAGGTTATAGACAACATTGCAACAAAGTTAAGTCCCCGTGATAACATTGCGCTGCTGCAGACAGTGAGCATTGAGGAGGTACGAGTAGCGTTATTTCAAATGCACCCGGACAAGTCACTTGGGCCTGACGGTCTAGGAGTGGGATTTTTTCAGTATTTTTGGGACATAGTGGGCGGGGCAGTCACTGCTTTTTGTCAGTCCTTTATTGATACGGCTACTCTACCAACGAGGGCGAACGATACTTACATCGTCCTAATTCCAAAGAAGGCAACCCCGGAAACGATGGCAGATTTAAGACCAATAGCACTCTGCAACGTGGTGTATAAAATTTCTGCCAAGGTTTGTGGAATAGAATGAAACCTTTGCTAGAAGGGCTCATTTCCGGTGCCCAGAGTGCTTTTGTGCCTGGCCGCCTAATAACAGATAATATTATGTTAGCCTATGAGGTTCATCATTACTTAAGGAGAAAGACCCAGGGTAAAGAGGGGATCGTGGCATTGAAGGTGGATATGAGCAAGGCGTATGACCGGGTTGAATGGGGTTTTCTTGATGCAATATTGCTGAAAATGGGTTTTGCAGCGCGGTGGGTCAGTATTCTAATGGAGACCGTAAGTTCAGTTCAGTATCATATTCTGCATGAGCAAAGCCAGCTTGGTCCAATCATTCCTGGTAGAGGCCTACGACTCATGGTGATCCTTTGTCACCATACCTCTTTTTATTTATTGCTGAGGGTCTTAGTGTGTTAATTGAGAGGCGGATGAGCACGGGTAGACTGCATGGTGTAACTGTGGCACGGGGAGCACCACCTATTTCACATTTATTATTTGCAGATGATTGCTTTATGTTCCATCGGGCCAATACCCAGGAGAGTGAAAACATGCGTGATTTACTGGACACATATTCTAAAGCCTCGGGGCAGAGAATCAACTATGACAAGTCCATGGTTACTTTCAGTGCAAATGTACCCCCACCCATGCGCAAGGAGGTGCAGCGAATTCTAGAGATAACAGAAGGTGATACGACAGGCAGATATTTTGGATTACCATCCCTTGTTGGTAAACGAAAGAAAGACATCTTGGGTTTTCTTAAAGACAGGATCCTTGCGAAGGTCCGAAGTTGGAATGCAAAGTTCCTCTCTGGTGCTGGGCGTGAGGTGCTTTTGAAGAATGTCATCCAGGCAATGCCATCCTATGCGATGATGGTATTTCTTTTACCGAAAGGTCTATGCAAGGAAATTGAGGTCCTTATGAATGAGTACTGGTGGAGTGGAACTGTGGGGGCAAGAAAAGGGTTGAGATGGAAGTTCTAGGGCAGTTTTTCGGTCCCAAAAATTGTAGGAGGTATGGGTTTCAGGATGCTTCGGGAGATGAACTTGGCACTACTGGGTAAACAAGCTTGGCGCTTGATCACCAAGCCAACATCATTGGTGGCAAAGGTGTATAAAGCTCGGTATTTTTCTAAATGCTCCTATTTTGATGCAGTTCAGGGAGGAAATCCATCTTTTATCTGGAAGGGCTTATTGGAGGTACAGAATGTGTTACGGAAGGGTTGTAGGCGACGCATTGGGAATGGCCTAGACACAAAAATTGGCCGGCATGCATGGCTGCCAGACGAGGAGGAGCCCTATGTACATACGCCTATGCCAGAGGTTGAGTATGATGCTCCTGTTGCAACATTATTTAATACTCAAGGTACGGGATGTGATGTTAATCGTTTAAGGGATCTTTTTATTGACCGGGATGTGAATCTAATTTTGAAAGTCCCTTTGAGTATGCGAAAACCACATGACTCGTGGTTTTGGTATTGGGATCATAAAGGGGACTACACGGTAAAGTCGTGTTATTAACTGCTGACCGGCATAACACAAGATGATAGACCATGGTCTATTATTTGGAACCTAGATGTGCCTCCCAAGGTGAAGCAATTTTGTTGGCAGTTGGCTTCATCCTTTTTGCCAACGAGAGATGCATTGCGCATGAAGCATATTCACTGTTCTTTGATCTGTCATATGTGCAGGAGGGAAGATGAAACGGCATGCCATTTATTTGCTCAATGCACTGAGTTGGGAAAGCTTTGGAACTTAGTAGGGCTCCCGGCATCATCAACTGCTTACGGTAATAATGTGGTCGAATGGATATTTGGTTATATTAAGATGTTGAAGGGTGATTTGCTATCTAAGTTCATAATGACTTGCTGGGGTATTTGGGCTTCTAGGAATGACTTTCTTTGGAAAGGGCTTGCTTTTGACATGCATGTGTTGTTACGCAGAACGCTCAGCCACTGGGCAAATTGGAAGCTAGCTAATGAGCAACCAAACGCGCCTAAGCCACCTACCGTAAGGGACTATTGGACTATGCCAAACCAGGGAGATTGAAATTAAACACAGACGCAGCACTAAATTCAACAGATAATATGATGGGTCTTGGATGGGTTCTACGAGATGATGAAGGGAAGTTTATGGCCGTGAAGAATGTGTCAGTGCATGGCATTTTTGATGTCAGGGAGGCTGAAGCGTTGTGTTTGAGAGAAGCTTTGAGTTGGGTAAAGGACACTGGTATGTGAGGTGTTGATGTGGAGATGGACTCCCAAGTTGTTTTTAATGCTATTTCCAGTACTTCTTTTTATTCTGCTTTTGGTTTATTGATTGATGTTGAACTCTAAATAGTGAAGTGTATATTGAGATAGAGAAAATACAGTGAATGAATGAGTACAGGGAAACCTACACTTATATACAAGCTAATCGGAAACCCCAACCACTTATTTCAAATTTCAAATGCCTAGTTAGGAGAACTCCTCTAAGAACCTTCTAACACTCCCCCTCAAGTTGGAGCATAGATATCAAACATGCCCAACTTGTTATATATATATAAAACCCGATTCTTACACAATCCTTTCGTGAATATGTCAGCCAGCTGATCACCACTCCGAACGTGTGTAAGTGATATTAGTCCTTGCTCCACTTTTTCCCGTATAAAGTGGCAGTCAACTTCAATATGCTTCGTCCGCTCGTGAAAGACTGGATTATTTGCGATGTGTATGGCAGCACAGTTATCACACCACAAATCTATCGGTAACTTCACTTCAACACCCACTTCTTTCAAAATGTTACGCACCCAGACTATTTCGCTTGCCACATGAGCCATAGCCCGGTATTCCGATTCTGCACTTGAGCGCGACACCACATTCTGCTTCTTACTCTTCCACGAGACCAAGTTGCCTCCTACAAACACACAATAACCTGTCATAGACTTCCTGTCACCCGGTGAACCAGCCCAGTCTGCATCGGAGAACGCCTCAACACGCATATACCCGTGATCAGCATAAAGAATCCCTTTTCCAGGAGCACCTTTCAAGTATTTCACAATCCGAACAGCCACTTCCCAGTGAGTCTGCGTCGGTGCACTCATGAATTGACTCACCACAGTCACTGGAAATGCAATATTTGGACGGGTAATTGTGAGATAATTCAGTTTTCCTACTAACCTCCTGTACCGCTCCGGATCTTCAAACGGCTCCCTTTCTCCTGTCAATAACTTCACACCTTGATCCATGGGAGTATCACACGGTTTTGACCCAAGCAGCCCCGTGTCACCGAGCAAGTCCAATACATATTTCCTCTGTGAGAGGAATATGCCCTTCTTAGAGCGTGCCACTTCAATTCCCAGAAAGTACTTCAACTCTCCCAGATCTTTAGTATGAAACTCAGACCCGAGAAAGGACTTGAGTGCCTCGATCCCACTTGTATCACTGCCTGTAATTACAATATCATCTACATATACTATCAACAAAACACACCCATGGTGGAACCGGTGGGGCTGCATGCATATCAACTTCTCTGGGCCGCCTGTGATAAACCTGCGTAACAGGAGGCCTAGACTCCACTCCTACGGAGTCGGGGATAGTAACAACATATGTCAGAAAATCATCTGTCTCGGAACTACAACCAGACGAACCAGGGAGCTCCTCACTGAATAAAGTATTCTCGAATAATGAGACATCTGCAGAAACCAAGTATCGCCCCAAATCCGGGGAGTAACATCGATACCCTTTTTGAGTACTTGAATATCCCAGGAAAATACATTTTAATGACTTAGGATCGAGTTTTCCTCTTTGAGGGCGAATATCCTGGACAAAACACGTACACCCAAACACTTTAGGAGGAAGGCAGAACAACGGTTTAGACGGATAGATGAAATGACAAGGACTCTGACCCCCAAGGACCCTTGTAGGTAGGCGGTTTATTAAGAAACACGCTGTATGAACGGCATCTGCCCAGTAAACCCTAGGTACTTTCATTTGAAACAACAAGGCCCTAGCAACCTCCAACAGATGGCGGTTCTTACGTTCTGCCACACCATTCTGTTGGGGAGTGCTGACACAAGATGACTGATGTACCATCCCATTCTGACTCATATAACTCGAGAACGAGAAAAATACTTAGTCCCATTATCACTCCGCAAAACCTGTATCATTTTATTGAACTGAGTTTTGACCATCGCAAAGAAATTACAAAAGATCCCAAACAACTCATCTCTAGATTTCATGAGGTATAGCCAAGTGTTTTTAGAGAAATCATCTACAAAAGTTACAAAATATTTAAACCCAGATTTCGATACTACTCGACATGGCCCCCATATATCTGAGTGAACCAACTGAAATAAAGACTCGACTCTATTATTGACTCTAGGAGGGTATGGTACCCGACAGTGCTTAGCAAGCTCGCATGACTCACATTGCAAGCTAGACAGAGATTCTAACCCCGGACACAACTTCTTTAAGACAGACAAAGGCGGGTGACCATACCGGGAGTGCAACTGCAACGGAGACATATTTCCCAATAAACCAACTGGAACACCTCCAGAATCTTTGGACAGCCGTTCTAACACATACAGCCCACCGACCTCCTTCCCTTTACCAATAATCGTCTTCATCAACAGATCCTGAAACAGACAATATCCAGGGAAGAACATGACACAACAATTTAGGTCCCGGGTAATTTGACTAATTGATAACAAATTGAATGGGAACTTTGGGAGATATAACACAGAAGTGAGAGGTAACGACGAACTAACATTCACACTACCTTTACCTAAAATAGAGGTGGATGAACCATCTGCCAAGGTAACAGTAGGACCATATTTAAGGGAACAATATTCGGAAAACATACTTAGATTACCTGACATGTGGTCACTGGCTCCAGAATCAATGACCCACTGTCGAGACGAGGAGGAAACACAAGCAATAGGATTACCTGTTTGAACAAAGGTAGCTGACGGAGACGGCAGTGACCCTGGACTAGCGGGAGACTGCGAGGAAGATAGCTTTAACTGATTAAACAAAGCCATTTCTTCTTCAGTTATCATAACCGTCCCTTCTGGTCTAGAGGCAGAATTAGCAAATCTCCTATGGTCGGAGAGTTGTGGGCATTGGTTACGTAGATGACCGGGATCACCACAATTATAGCAAGCCCTTTGCCCTCAACCTCCTCCGCGCCCTCTACCTCGTCCCCTGGACCGACCTCGTCGAATATTAGCACTATCTGTCCCACTATCTCCCTGTGAGAAAAAGACTTGTTTCTCCAACGTACTATCAGTACCAAGGTTCACTGACGCATTTTGAACCATAGAAAAAACTTGGTCGAGCGAGTCTAATTCCTTATTCCCCAATAATTGTGATTTCAAAACATCATACTCCTTATCCAACCCAGAAATCCAACTAAAAATATGCAACTGATCACGTTGTTTTTTCATTTTATCCACTTTATCAGTAATCGGCATAGCAGCACACAATGCCACACTCACATTCTTGAAGTCATAATAGTAATCCCTGATGTCCCGCCCTTTTTGAGACGGTCTATGAACATCCTGAGATAACTGATATAACTTCCTCAAATTATTTGCCCCGCTAAACCACTTATTCACTAAATCTCACACTTCCTTCGCACTCTTACAGTGCTGTAAAGATAGGATTATCTTCCTATCAATACAATTTATTATACGCGAAAACAGGGCGTCATCATCTTTCTGCCATGTTTGGGCTTCGGTAGGGTCATCCGGACATGTTTCAATTAAATGTCCAGCTTTACCCATACCCTTCAAGTTCACTTCAACTAAAAACCTCCATTCCCCAAAATTGGACCTATCCGGTGCCAACACCAAATCAACCAATTTAGATTGAGTTGACACCACAGTAATAGTCCTATTTTCTGCCACAATAAACACACAAAAACCAACCTTGAAGTGCAGATTTCACTTCTATGCAAAACCCAGTCCTGGCAGCAACCTGGCAGCAAGCCCTACGCAGATTCGC